AGAAGAGGTTATCTGTATGAGGAAAGAAGTCTGTGTTGGGGAATGAGAATTGGTGTCTTTAATCCTTTTTGTCCTGGACTCTCCATCACTGCTAGCTTCAATTCCATTGACCAATCACCATTTCAGGAATCCCAGGCAAAAAGGGAAGCTTGGAGACTATTTGACAGTTATCTAGGTCTGCTAGGTGGACCAATGTTTTCTTGAAGAGGGGATGCATCATCATTTCCTTCAAGGCCAGTAATACCACCTCTATCCCGAAGATGCATACACAATCATCCTAGTTAAGCTCCCAACACCTCCCTGGAGGCTTTCACCACTTAATGAGAACCAAGGTCCAAACCACAAGTAATTGCACATCATTCCTTAAAATGGACAGGCTCAAACCCATCTCAGATAATCCTGCAAGAAGGTTTCTGACAGGCTATCTTCATCTATGTCAGTCCTGAAAAGCTTTAACCAAGCCCAATACCACAACCCAGTAATTGCATTTTGATTCACTTTGTTACAATAGTTCCTATCACTCTTCCTTACCACCCAGTTATTTCTCTGAAGATAACGATCTTTGTGTTTCAGTCCCCTCTTTAAACCTGCTATTCCTGAACAGGAGCTCAGGGAAGGCAGCACACTCCTGCCCTTTGCATTGTTAGGTATGCCATCCACTTTCTTGGGTAACTCCTTACCCCAGCAAGTAAGCTCATCCAGCCCAGCATCTCCAGGAAAGATTGACTTGACTTATTCTTCTGCCCCCAAACACTCATCTTCCTTTCTCCCCAGAAATCTTCCTTTGCACCACCTTTCCCTGAACAAGTCATATCCCTACAAATTAGTGGGCATGTATGAATGCCGTCTCTTTACTTTCTGCCTTCTTTGCTGTGGACAAAGTTTTAACATCATATCTTTAAGCCTCCTGCCCTTTCTACTATGGCAAGAGCCATTACATCTGCATTCAAAAGCTACTGACTTATTTGCTTGCTGGCACGCTCAGACTCTTTTGGCCTTTCATTGAACTGCTCGCCTTTGGCACAAAGTCTTCTGGAGTGTTTAGTTTTTACTTTGAATTTTCTGCTTTTTCTGCCTATATAGTGGAACTCTATATGAGTTCCATTAGAGTCAATTGCTTCTAGAAATCACCTATTTCCCCTCCTTCTCTGAACTCACTCCTTTGTCTCTCTTGAATGTACTGCATTCTTCATAGCCTATTATTAACTACTTCAGATCTCTGTGTTAGCTTTTACACTGCTGATTGGAATGAATAAATGTTAAGTGATTAGCCTCCTTTGTTTTTTAATAAAGTGCATTGCTTCATTATTCATTATAATTTCATTCTTGGACTTCTGAACACTTCTGTTTGTTCCTGGCCTCCAGGGCACCCCTATTCATTAAACATCTTCGCCAAAATCTAAGGATTCCTTAACATGTTGAGGTGGCCAAATCACATAGTATTAAAAAGGAGGGCAGGTATTTGAGAAAAAAAATCATTTCTTGCAACAATGCTTAAAGAAGGAGGAGTATATAGAAGAAATAATCCATGTAATAAGTTTTTATGGACTTGAAAAACATATTTCTGCTCTGAGCAGACAGGATTTCAATTGCAAAGCATTTAAGCTACTGATGCATTAGTCCCCATGTTGAAAAAAAAAAGCCACTGCTTTGTAGGATACTGTAAAAACAGCATCATCCAAGTAGTGGAAAAGAAACTTTCATCTATTTGTTAAAGTAAATTAGGATAAATGTGAGGAGTGGCTAATGTTTAAATTTGACAGCTTCTTTCTTTTCAGGATAATAAAGGAAGGAACTGCCCTTGATGGACACAAGCTTGGCACAGGTGTCCAGAGCATTTAGCTATTTGGCATATTGTCTTAGCTTAGAGAGGCATAACTGTGTTAAAAAAAATAGCAGTTGTTATGTGACGACAAGAATCTAGGAAATGCAAAAATGACATCTAATTTATTGTCTTCCAATTGCATTTCTTACATTACCCATGATGGGCCTTTTTGAGATTGTTCTTACTCCAATCATTCCTCTTTACTGCCATGCTGTTAACAGCAATTTATGAGTTGGGATCATTTGACTCTTATCTAATTCATTATACAATATCCCTTAAGTGACACACAAAACTAGCATCTCATTTGTCAGCTTCAAGGTTCATTTTCCACATAATCCAGTGGACCAATTGCAATATATCATTTGATATAGAGAGAGTGCCAAATTCAGATCTTCAGTGTTACCGAAATAGATGTAGTAAAAAAAGAAATTGCATGTTGTTTGTTTTGGTTTATGGAACAAAGGCATCCTTAGGGCAGCTCATGAGACTGATTAATAAAACAAATCAGACTAACCCTAAAGTTAAAGTGAAGGGCTCTACCTTAGCACCACTTTCTTCCTCGTTCTCTTGAGTTTAGTCAACTTCTCAGGCCCATCACAGCTTGGGGATTCTACTGAAACACACACACACACACATCATCATCATCATCATCATCATCCTTTTTAATTGATTAAATCGCATGGCTCAAACTGGTTCAAAAATAAGGCCCCATGGTCCTGGGACCATCACACCATCCCTAAAACTTTGGGATTAAAATAAGCAGGAAGCAACTTGCACTCAGGATGGACATATGCTGCTCCTTTGATGTGATACATTTTGTCACTGTTGCTATTGTATGCCAGACATTTTTTGTAGAAAGTAGCAATCATATGCCTTGCAAACTGATAGACAGCTCACTCACCCAGCTTGCCCTTAATATCTTAGGACTGGTTGCAGTGTCTTGCGGTCATGTGATTGCGATTTGTGACTTTTCTATCATTTTCCAGCAGAAAGTGGCAAAAAAACCTCACCCACTGGATATTATTCAGGATTCACTTAATGATATGGTTTGCTTAATGACTTGTGAGTCACTTAATGGCTATCATTAAAAACAGTCATAAAATCGAGTCAGTTCACATGGTGACCCACTTAACAACCATTATGACTTATGATCAAAATTCTGATCTCTGTTGTGGTCGCAAGCCAAGGACAGCCTGTATTTGGAAGATTAAAAAATATCAATATCTCAGACCTTCTAGGAATTCTGAAAAGACAGCTGAAGAACAATAATTTTGCAAGGTATCATTACCAGGCAAAAATGGAGAATAATAAAGATATCTATTATTACTAAAATGTGCATAGAAATGTACATTATAACCCGGATAATAAAGGTAAGTGTAGAACAATAGTTTCTTTGCCCCTTGGGAAGGTCATAAACCCAATTCCTGGCAGCCTGAATCAATAGGAATAAGAAAGACCGGTATTGGCTGGTCAGCAGAGACAAGGCTGGGTTAGATGGACAAAGAGCTTGATATGGTATAAAACAGTTTCCTATGGATCTAAAGTGGTATTAATGAGGCCATAAGGAAATTCCTTTGTCCTTCTACAAGGGCAATTTCTGGTCCATTGGTGGGTAGACTGGAAACTGCAGCAGGAATAATTGAACGCTGGAAGTACTCCAGCTGATCTAGTACAAGGCAGTACTAACTAATGGGGTGCATAGGAGTGGCTTCTTAGGGACACTCGGATAGCCATACAGCAGGAGCAGAAGATTATTATATTATCTGCTCTGACCTTTGCAAGTTATTGCAAGGCGCAGCAGCCATTTTACGCTTAGCTTTCTTTCTATCACTAGCAGCGAAAACTGCAGTGATACTTTCACAAATTAAGGGTTGAAGATGGCGCAGTAAGAATTTTTCCCATTATCAGAAACAAGATGGAGCAGCTAATGCAACTCAGCATTCTGCAGTTTTAAACAGATTTCTCTTCCAAGGAGACAAAGCGGCATAAAATAGTTGCAGACTAAATTCTTGCAAATTGTGTCCTGTTACATTTTCATTCCTATATGAGTGGGGGGGGGGGAAATTGCCCCTGCATTAGATTTGGATTCTCTAAATAAAGGGGATAATATTGATTAAATTGGTATTTAATCAAGATTATTCCCTTTATTTAGAGAATAAATAAAGTAGGTTTTAGTTTCCCAGCGCAATTGCAGCAGTGAAGCAATTCCTTAATTTATATTTAGGATTTTTTTAATAAAAAAATATAAATGGAATCATTTTACCAATTGTGAGAATTTTTATTTAGCTGAATAACAAATAACCTACGAACAGCCTACATGGCTTTCAAAGGTAAATAATCAGATGTCTTAGTTTAGAGCTAAACATTACATTTACATTTAATGCATAACTTGCAGCATTTTATCATTTTAAAAGTATAATTAAAGATAAGAGAGATATAGGTTTTCTGTACTATTACAGAATGATGGGAACTGATACACACTCCTGGGAGTGTTAGTGAAAAACACTAAAGCTGATAATGTCAAATTGGATTATTTTCCCCCCATCACCCAAATAAATCTGATGAATTTGGTCCCTATTCCTATTTGATACCGTGATGGTTCATCTTTGCTATGCATGGAACAACTTCTTGGTCCACAATCACATGCCCTGCAGGAGAACTAGCCATCAACTGTCTGTTACCACAGATAAATAAAGAGGCTGAATATGTTCTATGTTGGTTGTTCTCCATTTCTTCCATTCCTGGAAGGATAGAATTAAATGTGGAAGATAAACTAACATGCTATGCACTGAGCATAATGTGCAGCATGATTCTTGATCTGCAGAGTGACTGGAGATGCAGTTTAACTTTTATAGCTTATGTAGCATTATCATAAATAAAACTGCACAGTATAACTACAGTTGTGCATATTAAATTAGAGGAGGGAATGCAGAGAAGGCCTGAAGGAGCAATTCTGAGAATGATCTAGAGGTTCATTTTACAATATGGTTTTTGTGTGGAAAACAGAGTGTTCAACAGAGCTTTGAATGACAGAGTCATTTAGGGCACTCTGCAAGATGGACCTGTACACTAAAATGACAAAGAGTGCTGAGATGTGCGTGATAAGTAGATTGTCCAGTCATCTGTAAAAACTGTTCAGGAAATGCAGCACAATACCAATTGATCTCTTCCTTACCTGCAGAAGCCATGGTTGTCATATGCCACATTACTACCACCATCAGACTCCACCTGGGTTTTAATATTTTTGTTGTTGTTGTTGCTATTCCTGCCTTTCAAACCAAAGTAAGCTGCTTGCATGTTTTCTAGCTCTTCACTTCTGAGCTGGTACCAGAACTGCATATCCCTGTGAAAAGAGGCACTGTTTCCATCCATAGCAGATCACAGCAGATGTGTACTGTGCAAATGTGACTAATGTCAAACATCTGAAATAGCAGAACACATCAAGTCTCTGTCAGGACTGTCTTCCTGCTACACCAACCATGCTTTGCCAGATGCTAGTCAGCTATAAGCAAATGGGGGGGGGAGGGACCTGCAGGGAAGTAAAGGGGAGGTTTGGATGAAGAAAATTGAAAATACTTTTCATGCCATTCCGTGGGAGCCCCTGGCTGTTCCAATGTCATGGAATGGAATATGAGATCATCCTGCTTGCCAAGACAGGGGCTGTTATTATTTGTTTGAATGTAATTGGATAGTTTAAGATAACCAAAGGAAAGGTGGGGAGAAGGGAAGAGTTAACCAGATGCTTTGGGATTGAAACTTCAGATCCGGCTTTGCTACTCTGTAACCACTTGGCTTTAGTAAAGTGTACTTTCTTTAACAATGGATTTGAAAGTCTTTCTTTTCTAACTGACAGGTTGGGATGGCTGACTGTCTCTGCAATTCACATTCCTGTCATGAACCCCTCCCCTATTATTCTCTCTCTTTTATATGATGCTGACCTTGTGCAATATAACTTAAATAAGCTAGAAAACATGACAATACTGCCCTTTTCTCCAATTTAGTGGAAGGGTTCCTTTTCATCTTTATTGCAAATGCAAGATTGTGCCCATTGCCCCGATTCCAACTTTTATACAATCATCTGACATTCTGAATAATGGAATTATGTGTGAGTTGTATATATGTGGATTCTCTCCACACAGGAAAGAATCCTGAAAAGTCAAATTCCCTAATTGTACAGAGAAGATATCAAGATGGCATTCAGCTGGACTGTTTGGGTGGAAGAGTTTTGGGTTTGAAATATATATGCAGTATGATTGTTGAAGGAACATGCCATTGAATTCAAAGCAAAGATGAGAATGAATCAGGAAGATTGGAGAGAAAGTTGGACAAAACAAAACTGAATGAAAATGACCCCTGGATATGGTAGAAAAAAATATGGAAAGATTAAATAGAGAACAGGTGGCACCAGTGCAAATTTGACCTTCAATTGGAGCAATAACAGTAATGAGGGAATGTTAATGGAGATGGTGACTATTAAAGGACAATGGCAGTGAAATAGTATGGTGGCTTTATTCTGTTGTGGAAGTTGAACTGAAGAACTGGGATTTGTGTATGAATGTGAAGTGTGAGACTGATTGGCTTTAGGAAAATAATGGATTCAAGAAGCATGCATATGTACTTAAATTAATAATTAAACAACCCTTCATTTCTCTTGACATATTATCGTGGGGCCCCATGGCTAAAAGTCTGTGTCTTCTGGGCAATTATGCCTTGCCAGAAATCTGAGAAGAGTCTGTGAGTTGACGGAGCAATTCACAGAACCTTAAAATTGACTTGTAAAAGCTTCCCCCCCCTGAAAGCAACAGGACAAAAAGTTATTGTGAACTTGGTCTCTCAAATTAAACTGGCCAGAACTCTTCTGGGACAGTTTAGTCTTGAATCAGATTAACAAAATTTGGAAAAATTGTACTTCTGCCAAGAGGTCAGTAAATACAGGTGATGATAGGGCCTTATCATAGTTGGAGAACATGTATGTATGCAGGGCTTTTTTTCTCATAGAACACCCAGAACGGAGTTCCGGCACCTTTTTTGGATGGAACCTTGTAGGGTAGGAAAGGCAGGTTGTATGACATGTGTGAGTTCTGGCACTTTTTTTTTTTTTTTTTAGAAAAAAAGCACTGTGTGTGTGTGTGTGTGTGTGTGTGTGTGTCTGTGTGTGTATGTTTGTAATGTAATGTATTGGGCACATTCTAGGGTTGCCCAACTCCAGAACAATTATGGGTGGCTGACAAATTAAAAAAGGGAGAAATGTCTCAGTATCAAGACAAAGTGAGATCAATTAACTAGTGGAACACTGTATTCTATTCTATTCTATTCTATTCTATTCTATTCTACTCTACTCTACTCTACTCTACTCTACTCTACTCTACTCTACTCTATTCTATTTAAAAATTGCAGATCCTGTTATATGGAACACGCAAACTGATGAGAACCTTCCTGTTTATATTTGCAGCCAGGAGAAGGAAATGAGCATTTACTAATAGAGAAAGAGAAAAACAGTACAGCAACAGCTCTATCTTACGGCTGATACTTCAATTAACAGCCTAAAGCCAGAAATATGACTCACCTTTGAGCCCGTCTTCTTTCACTTTTCTTAATACACTTGATAAGACAACAGGTTAAAAAAGCCATTGACATCAGGAGAATAATGGCACAGCTCACAATGGAAGAAATCACAGCAACTTTAAATCCAAAGGTTTCATATTTGGATATGGCTGGAATAAAACAAACACAGTTAGAGGCTGACATCTGCACCTTGCTGTACATTCACACCCCTGCCATTAAATGCACCAACAGTAGGAGTGTTCTATCTGGAACCATCTCAAAGCAAACTATTTAAAAGCCTCTTATTTATAAGAGAGTAATGGAATCCTCACGAGGAACTTGGCACAGCAATTACTCCAACACAACTCAGCCATAAACAAAAGGGGGTGTAGTAACTTCAAACTATCGCTTCAGGCTTTCCCTGGGATAAGAAGACTTTGTAACTATGATTGTTGCCCTTGTCACCATTATGTAAACTATTGCGGTGTGTGTTATATGGGGGCTGCCTTTAAAGATCATCTGGAAACTTCAGTTGGTACCAAATGTTGTGGCCTGGATGCTCACCAGCAGTCATTACTGTATTTAGTTTGGCCTGCAATTTAAAATGTTGCTTTTTTTTACCTACAAAGCTTTGGTGCTCTGCATACTGAAATTGGGCTTAACACTGTGTTTGTGTCAAAAGAAGCAGCTCATTTCCCATTTAAAGGAGGTCAAGTAGGCTGATCCTAAAAGCACTTCTTTCTCAGTAGCAGTACTAAAATTTCATGTTAGACCAGCTCCAAGTCTGGCTGCTTTCTGGAAAAAACTGAAGCTCTTCTAGAGAGATTTTGGGTGCTGCCGCCTAGGAAATTGGCATTTATTATTTTTGTGTGTGTGATCACTGTTGTTTTTTTGTTATTTTGCATTGTATATTTATTGTATTTGTAAGCCACTGGTAGGATAGAAATCAAAGGCATACATATAGTGTGGTTGGAACGCACAATTAGTGTTATAGGCCTAAGGCTAGGATATGGTATGGCTGAGCCCTATTATTAAGGCCCACGTAGCAGCAGAGAGAGCCCATTGCTAATATCTCAAGTCACTTAGTCATCTGATTTTTCTCCATGCTTTGTTGCTAATTCGCATTCACTGCTAAGTAAGCATTGGAAGGAGGGAGGAATCTCAGATACTTTGCTTTCTCTTCAGAGGATTGCTTCAGAAGATGGTCCTGAAACTCCAGCTAGTATAGAACATAGCTATATAGGTGGGAGCAAAGCAGTCAGAACATCCGACATTTTTAGTAGTTGTATGACTACCAGTCAGGTCCTGAACTCAATCTCAAATGCTGATTTCAATATTTAAAGCCTTAAAACTGATTGAGATCAAGTTCACCTTCATTCCCGTTGATCTACTTCCATTTTCAGGAATGAAAATCCTTCTTATCTTCTTTTCGTTGACAGCAGTTACACCAATTAATGCAAGTAGGACCACACACCGCCCTACGGAATGCACTGCCCTGGTGGCTGATTCATTCCCAGCTTTTCTGTAAAAGCTCTAAACTCCCATTTATTTTTCTCAAGACTTTTCCTAAATGGAATTCTATTGTTCTGTTCTGGTTTCAACTCCACACAAGTTCAATTTTAATACTGTGGCAGAATGTTTGTGGGCTTTATTAATATTTTTATTATATTCTTTATAGCATTTTGATTTTATTACTATAAGCTGCCTTGAGAAGGCTCTTGTCCTGTAGGATAGCCTGGAAATACTCTGAACATATTTAATATTTTTTTTTTATTTTTAACATCTTTTTCTCTTTAGAATAGTCAAATGAAGTGAAAACCACAGGTAAAAAGGCAGAAGAAAATTTCAGTATGGCTGAATTAAAATCACAAAAGAAGAAGTTATTGTAATGCTCTTGATTAATTGGATTAACTGGGTTAACCCAGGGTTAACTGGGTTATGTTGAAGGAAAAGCAGAAAAAGCTGTGGTAGCATTAGGAAGACCAACACACTTATTAAGACATCAACTTTCATGGAGTTAGGTGCAGCCCACTGACTGAATGCCCTATAATCCACCAAAGTCAACGTAGTAGCAGTTTTTGAATTGTTGTGTGATTTTTGTGGTTTTTATGATGCTGACACCCATTTTCCAGGAAACTTACAGGAACACAGGCTTACAGACATTTTAGAAAAGCTGCGGTCTGACTTACTTTGCTAGCATGAAGCTATAACCACTTTTCTTTTTTGCCATTATAAACAATAGCATAACTGTATTTCTTTTTTTTTTTTTTTTAAAAAACCCTCTACCTCTCTTCATCAACACATTTAGAATTTAAAACTGAACATTTACCTGAGCTGGAATATTTTGAGCAAATATATGTGTCTCGGATAGCAAGATGGACGGCATTAATTAATTAATTAAGTATCAAGCAAGACTTACAGAACCAGAAATGAAACAAATAAAAATTAATTATTTTTAATTGAATTTAATCTTTAAAAAACCTATTCAGCATCAGGTCTTTCTTTGATAATAGTCAGCAATCTCTGAAAATGAATAGAACTGGAAAGTCTGGAATCTGCTCTTTCACCCTGCAGCCATTATCATTAGTTTTTACAGTGGTATAGATCACCTGCATGTCAGAGAAAGTCTGAAGATTATACAAATCATATAGCAAGGAGGGGGGAGGGGGAAAAAAACACTTACGTATACATGAAGGAGTATCAGCTGTCCATTGTGTAGCATTTTCTTTCCAAATGCATGTGACAACTCCATGACCAATCAGCTGATGCTCATCAGAACAACGAAATGTAATTACAGAGCCAAGAGTGGTACCATTTCCGTAGATTATCTGTGATGAACCAAGATGAGGGGGAAATATCTGGCTGCACTGGCCTATTCAAAAGGGAAGAATAAAAGCAGTTGTTTTATTTTTATCACCATGCATTCTTGGCAGAAACATATTTAGCATGAATGGACCTGAATATTATCATGAGATTAAAAACAATTGAGATAAAATGAGTTAGTATCTGGTATAGAACTGTGAGAAAGAGTTATGCTAGGAACTTAAACAGACTTAATGATAAATTGTGTGTCGAAAGTACTCTAAATATGAGACATCCTTAAAGATGAAACAAAAAAAAAAATATCCAGAATTGCAAAAAGCAAAAGAAGGCAAAATGGCTGTTTGCTGATAGTGAAAATAGTTGGGAGAATGGTGGAAAATAAAAAGGCAGCACAGATAGAAGAAAATTTGCCCAACAAAATACTGAGATTTAGAGATAAGCAAGAAGAAACAAGAAATCACTTATTGTATGTCTAAATAAGTAAAAAAATGGAGGATAACAATTAGATGGGAGGTATAAGCAGATTTATTTTAAAAAAAATCACAGGAAACAAGATGAGTATAATAAAAGGCAAAGGCATCAAACCCATACTGATGAAAGAAAATATAATCAGAATGAGATGGTGAGAACTGTATAAAATAACAACAATCCAAATCAGTTACAGGTATTCCTTGACTTATGACCACAACTGACTCCAAAATTTCCATTGCCAAGCAAGACAGCTGTTAAGTGCATTTTTCCCCATTTTACAAACATTGCCACAGTGAATCACTGTAGTTGTTAAGTTAGTAACACAGTTGTTAAGTGAGTATGGCTTCCAGATGGACTTTGTTTGTCAGAGGGTAGCAAAAGGTGATCACATGATCTTGGGACACTGCAACCATACGGGCCAGTGTCAATTTTGATCAAAAGCTGCAAAGTACCATGGCTATCAAAGACCAGAACTGCTATAGATCACACCTGGCTCCAACCTTCTCAAAGCTTCAGCTTTCTCAGCAGATTTCATCCATCCATAATACTTGCCTTGGTTTTTTGTCTTTCCACAGTATTCCCAACCTCATTACCTGGAATTTCCCCATCCAAATGCTTAAAATACCCAGCTGAGCAGGACTCAGTTTCTGAGGGAAAGTAATTGTCTTAGACTCATACCAGCAAAAAATAAAACCCTCAGATATGATCCATCTTATTATCTGCTCATTGGAGTTAAAAAAGAGCAGGATTCCGAAATAATGCTGAGAAGTCCTGCAAGAAAGTTTCTTTTAAACCTATAAAAACTGCAAGGTATATTCTTCAAGAATTATTTTTCTCAGTCAAAGAGAGAGACTGACCTCTCCCTGTATTGAGAACAATTTAACATATCAGGGGAAACCTGTTTCCCTTGATCTGTTAGACTGTGTTTCACTCTGAAGCCTGAAACACTGACCCTATCTAGCCCACGAGACCCAGTGAAGCAATCCATCTTTCAACTGGATTTGGTTCCCTACCTCTGCTTCCAAATCCTGGAACAGAGAGCTCCCAGGCAGGCTTCCTAGGATGGAAGGAGGAGATTCTTCCATCTCCATAAAAACAATGTTCTATCTACTATCCCACCTAGGAGGAAGAAACAAAACAGACACCATAAAACAGGGGTGTCAAACTCAATTTCATTGAGGGTCGCATCAGCATTGCGTTTGGCCTTGGGGGGCTGGGTGGGTGTGCCCTGGGTGGGTGCGGCCTACTGGGTGAGCGTGGATGGAGTGGGTGTGGCCTGCTGGGTGGGCGTGGCCAGCTCTACATCGTTCGCGTCAAGGGTGCCTGTGGGGGCCTAGGCAGGAGTGGGAGAGATCTGGGGATGACAGAGGGGGTGGAACCAGGGCAAGTGCCAAGGCATGGTCCACTGGAGTAGCCTCACTGTTTCTCTCAGGCCATGCAGGGGCAGCTGGATGGTGGTGCGGGCTGCCCGGAGCCCTGGGCAGCAGAGGTCAAACGCCCAGCCTGGCCCGTGGCACCAAGCCCAGCCCCACTTCCCCAAGGGGGCAGCCAGCTGCACTTATCTCCTCCTCAAGGCTGCTGCTGCTGTGCTTGCTCTCCTTAGCCAGGTTGCTCATGATGGGTATGAGGGCAAAGTCAGAGGGAGGCCCATTCCCTCTCCATGGGAGGAGACCCAGCTTTGTATCCAAAGCTTCCTTAGCAATAGGATGGGAAACCCCCAGGATAGGCTAGGAGGAGGGGGCAAGGGGATGGTGAAAGGGCAGCAGGGCAGGACTAAGGCAGGAGTTTCCTCAGATCCTCCCTCTCCTTCTTTCCTTCTTTCCTTCCTTCCTTCCTAAGTACAGAGTGGTGGGAAAATATTTGAGATGAAGGAGGGAGAAAAACAGGCAAGAAACGCAGCTGGGGAGGTGTCACCCTTCGTGAGGAATGAAGAAATGCACCATCACCTGGAAGTAGCCAGCACATGGTCCTCACCTACTTCACATATCTGGCTTGGTGAGCTCTGGGAGAGGGGATGCCATGAGCAGCGTGAGATTCAACATTACCTGTGCAATGCCGCCCAACCCCCAGCCTGCTCGGTTTCGGCAGGCAGTGGGGCACTCTCCTCACAGCGCCAAGAGCTGAACCAGGTAGCACGAATCTGATGAGAAGTGCAATGCTACCTAGCCCCCAGTCTGCCCAGTTTCAGCAGGCAGCAAGGTGCAAAGCTGATGAATTTCGCACCGCCCGGCTCAACCTCTCGGTGCTGTGAGGAGAGCACCCAGCTGCCTGCCGCCATAGAGCTATAGTCTGAAGCAAGGAACAACTTGAATTAAATAAGCACATTGCCACCGCTATGATCTGTTTTTAATGTAGAAACTTCTATTTCTCAAGAATTCTTTAAATGTGATCCACAGATAAGGCTGGCTGAAGACATTTTCTGCCTGAGACACAGGACAAAATGTCATCACTGCTCCTAATTCTATTACAAAAACTGAATGTCTTGATTTCTATCTCAGGACTAAAGGCAGACCAAGCATTTCCCCACATTCAAGGCAACATGCAAGCTTAAGGGTTGACATTCACAAAGCTACCTCAGGCTGGCATACATAGCTTTGCCTTCTAATGGGAGAGAAATTAATGTGAGACTCTCCCACCCCTCAAAACTGCCATCTAAGGGGCTGCAGTGTGAAACATTTCTTAGGATGGGAACTGGAGAGGTGTTTTGTTTTCACTTATTAAATGCTGCTCAAAAAATCTTCTACTTTGGAGATTTAGATTCAGTGTCATCTGTGTGTATGATAGTAATGGCAGGGCTTTGAGCATATGATCATCTTGTCTTTCAGCCTCTGCAAAACAGCCCTGTTTCAAGCCACACTAAATTGTTATGAGATTACTGAAACTGAAAAGTACCCAGGGCATGGGAACTAGTTTGGTAGGGGCAGAAAAAGAATATGTCAAAAATTCTCCCCATGCTGGTTTGTTTGCTTTTATTTGTATCCCACCTTTATTATTTTTACATATAACTGAAGGTGATAAATATATCCAATATACCTTCCTCCTCCTATTTTCTCCACAAAAACCCTGTGTGGTGAGTTAGTCTGACAGAGAGTTGGTCTGGCCCAAAATCACCTTGCTGTCTTTCATGGCCAAGATAGGACTTGAACTCACAGACTCCCACTTTCTAGTCTGGTGATTTAACCACTAGGCCAAACTGGCTGAAATCTCTCACCTTCAGGACTTCTTTGATCCTCAAGGGAACAGGGCAAGATTAGGTTTGTAGCCAGCAAGCTACCATTTGAGGTTCTAGGAAGTCCACCTCTCCTTATGGCTCTATTTCCCTCAAGGAAAGAAAGCAACATATATTGAAGGAAGCTGTATTTATTATTATCACTATGCACTTTGACTACAAGGTATGAACCATCACTAGGAATACATTAAACATATACAGTATAAAGAAATAAGTTAAACAATGGATGGAAACAGCAATTAAATTTGAAAGCAGCAAGCTCCAGAAACAAGTCCCCAGGGTAGGCCGAAACATACCTTGGGGATCAGAACAACTTAAAACTTAACAGGACAGCTGAATGGGGAAATGTAAGAGGCCTAAGAGAATAAGAAGCCTCATCTGTTACTACCAAAATAACAAGATAGGCTCAAGTGGTTTCCCTAGGGAGATTAATCCACAGTGGTGATGGGGGAATACCCTTGAAAAAGCACAGTCGTTTGTAATTAAATAACAAGGGATGTATGGAAAGAGGCCCGGCTTCAGGTCTGAAGCACTTTATTGCTTTAAAAAAGCACTTTACATGAGGTTTGGAAGCTGAGAGAAGATAATTCAGTATTAGAATAATCTGATCAAATGTCCAGCCTGATCAGCACCTCAGCTGCTGTAGTTTGTACTAACTCAGGATTTTGGGCCCTTTTCAAGCACAGCATCAAATAGAGGGCTTCCCTAGTTGAATAAAGACCTGCCATAGACCTTGTGCTCTAAATCACCACAAGGAATTCATACAATGGATAGGCAACATGGTGTTCCATTTCACTTGTCATGCACCAACCCCCACTGTCTAAAAATATATTGTTTTAATTACTTATCTGTATTGATCTGTATTGTATTGAACATGGTACCCTATTCATATATTATGTTCTGTCTAGGATACCACAGTTTAAGAAAGATTTGGAGAAGCTAGAAGAGATTCAGAGAAGCATGTGGTGATGAGGAGCAAGTAGTTAAGTCTTAAAACAAGAATGTTTTAGCTAAGAATATTTAGCTAAAAATGGGGGGGGGGAGTAGTGATAACCCCCTTCCAAATCATGAAAAAGGTATCACACAAAATCAAGTCAAGATCTGTACTCTCTCATTGAACAATGCAGGATATAGAATAATACATTTTCAATTGTAAAAGCAATTCAACAGTGGAACCAATTATCCAATGAGGTGGTGAACTCCCTTCAATGGATGCATTTAGGAAGAGCTGATATGGAGACTTTAATTTGGTTTTCTGCACTTAGCAGGCATGTTGATTCAATGACCTACAAAGTCTCTTCCAAGTTTATGACTCTGTTGCTCGGTAAAATAAAAGGAACTGAAATCATGCTTTGGCACCTATTTACAACTTATAGCCTGGGAGTCTGAAAAGAGTTGTGGTTGCTGGGAGAAGTAAACTAATGAAAGTTAATGTGATTCCTAAAATAACCACAACCTTTTCCAGACTATTTTAAAGAAATTGGTCAATTTGAAATAGACCCACAGAGCAGTGCTCTATGGTTCTCATACAAAGCTCAAATGCTTCTTCTGAATCATTTCCAAAGCATACCCAGCCCTAGCATTTTGTTACAGATTCTGCTCTCTGTGGCATCCATTTGGCAAGACCATGAATCATCTGTACCTTTTCTACAAGGCACTTACCACTCAGAAGATCCTCCTAAAATTCAGTGAAGATATCCTTGTAACTTAAGCCTATCCTGAAGGAAGGTGCTTAAGAAAGAAGGCTGAAAGCTCCATGGTCTGACTCCAGGAGAGATTTGCAGTCTGCCTTAGAATCCAAGTACAGAAAACTTTTGCAAAGACCTTTTATTGTACTTTTATGTTACTTTCTAACTACAATAGGAGATTTGTTCCAGGGTTACATTTTCTCATTTATTTCAGTGCCAGATTTGATTAAATAAACTATTGCTCTCCCTCGTGAATCTGTAACATATTGAGTCCTCTCAATATTTTGAGAATTTGCCAGATTAAAAAAACTATAGCTTCTTCAAAGACAGCAATGACTTATATCAACACATTCAGCACCAGCCCTGCAAATGATGACTCCAAACACTTCAGATAAATATAGAGACAATCTAATTAAAAGAAACTAAAGGTGTTATATCGTTCCATTTTTACTGTTATTTTCTAGTTAAAAATAGGCAGCAATGGAAATTGCCAGATTAAGCACAACATTTGTAAATGTGAATTACTCATGGAAAAGGTATAAACTGTTCTCTTTATTATATTTTGTAATTAACATAGATCAGCATGTTCTTCACTCTGATTTTTGTTCCATTGCCACCAGGGATAATTTTATAATACCATATCCTGTCTCAAATTCTATGAAAAAGTAAATGAAGAGAAGATTGAAGTATTTATTGAAGTCTGAAATGTCTGTACTTCAAACAGAAAGTCTAAAAGAGAATAGGCTTGAAAATAAATTTGTAAGAAACGAGGATATTGCTTTCTTGCTTTAAAAATGTAGACCTAATTTGGGGACTGAGATATTTTCTCCACACTCATTCAACTAAGTTTTAGTTCAGGTGTCTTCAAACTTGGTCCTTTTATGACTTGTGGACTTCAACTCCCAGAATTCCTCAGCCAGCGTGCCTGGTTGAGGAATTCTGGGAGTTGAAGCCCACAAGTCATAAAATAGCCAAGTTTGAAGACCCATGTTTTAGTTCCTATAAAAACTGGATGCATCTTTGAGTAAATACTTTGAATAAGAATTAAGTAGGAGGAGCTGAAGTGGTGGCAATAGATCTCAGTCTTCCACCAAAATATATTAGTTATAATTTGTAATCCATTCATACAAACTGAGCTCACAGAATATCTGTGTCAATGCACAAGAATGGCATGGATCAGAATGGAGTAATATAAAATCAGCAGGAGCTGCAGACAGAAACTAATTTTCTCCCATTCTCTGCAGACTTTTCATGCAAATTTTAGTTTATTTACTCATCTACTGCATAAAGCTATCTGCAGATGGCTACAAAGAATAGCAACTATTGCTGGAACAGATACTCCAGATCTTAAAATTTGACTGATGAGGCACAGGCTTTCTGCTAAGCACATCATTCTGCTGTCTCAGGCCATAAAATATCCCAACTTTTTCTTTAATTATCTAGATGTTTCTGTTACACTCATTGGCAAAGAATCATGGCGATTGCTATTCCTGTCATTTATTTCCAACATCTGGGAATCAAACAGCTGTGCAGATTTTCGAATTCATCTCTACACATTGCTGCTTTGCTAGTAACATGTATAATAAAGGACCCCCTAAGACAGTGATGGCGAACCTTTTAGAGACTGAGTGCCCAAACTGCAACCCAAAACCCACTTATGCATCGTTGAGTCCCGGGTGAGTGTGGCCCATTGGCTGGGTGTGGCCAATTGGGTGGGCGTGGCTGCGGTGGTAACGGCAGACTGGGTGGGACTAAAAAGTTCAATCAATCAATTCCAACTTTGCAAGAACTTTTTTTTCCCCGCGAGAAGTTGAAATTGACTGATTGAATAAACCTTTTTTTTTTTTTTTGCACATGGCGGCAGAGGCCTAAAGCGAAAAGATTTTATAAAACCCAGCTGAAGGCCTAGGACTGGGGCGACGGTGCACGTGCCCACAGAGAGGGCTCTGAGTGCCACCTCTGGCACCCGTGCCATAGGTTCGCCACCACTGCCCTAAAAAATATGTGGCTTCAGTTCAGAAACTTTGGAAACCTTCTCTGTCCTCACCTAGGCACACCACAGCTCCATACTAAGTAGGAGGAAAGTAGCAGGAGGGCACTCAGTGCCATGAACTGTTGCCTCTGTTGCAATTGATGGCGAGCCTATTGATTATATTGAAAATCTGAGCAACCTCTAGTTTTAGTGTAGTTGATAAAGAAAAATAAATGGAAACAAATGTTTCCAGCTCTGACATCAGGCAGTAATATAAGGTGTAAGGATCACTAAGCAGGATGAAAATGTTATCTTCCTAGGAATTTAAAGTTTCAGTGCAGCTGCTAACTCTCAAGTAGAGTTCAAGCAGCTTCCTCAGCAGAGAGAGAGAGAGAGAGAGAGAGAGAGGGAGAGAGGGAGGGAGGGGGGGGAGAGGGGGGGAGGGAGAGAGAGAAAGAAATGCCAGTCTGATATGGTCAATATGACTGCTTTATAACCTTTCTCTGGTTTTCCAGACATGTTCCTCTGCAGTATACTGTAGGTATCTGTTTTTCTCCTTTGTCCTCAAGATGTTTTAAGATTATTGCAGAACTTTGGTAAAGCTTTTGCATTGTTTTAAAACTTCAGGTGCTGGTTGTTTCTTTTTGTTCCTTATCTATAACAATCATTCTATTGCATGGCAAGGTAGCATTTATTTTCCCTACTTAAGTGCATTAAGAACAAGAACAAGGACCACTATGGAACAGAATAGTGATGCCATGAAACAACATAATGGAATGGGGCATGATTTCGAACCCCACCTCTCAAATTTCCAAGATTTCCGTTTCTTGTCATTTTAAATAAACAACTGCTACATTTAAGGTTGCAATCTAAGCGTACTTTATTTATTTTCCCTCTAGAAACCAGAAGCCAATTGCACCACCAATTTCCAGAAATTTACCAGAGAATTTTAGCAGCTTGATTATGAAAATTAAAAACAAACAAACAAACAAGACAGGAGGGGGTATCTGAGGTCTGCTGGACAATGTCATCATCCTGCTCTGCAACCTTTTCCACTTCCTGCCCTGAAAAACCCCCTCCAGAAGCTTGTCTTCATGATATTAGGAGCTGGCATTTCACTGAGGCAGGGAAAGTGTGTCATGAAAGATAAGCTAACCACATTCATGTAAGAAATTCTCATCCCTATTCTAAGAATTTCACTAAAATACTTGTCCTCCTTTGAAAAATAAACAGGAACAACGGCCAAAGTTTCTTTCAAAGGAGAAAGAGTGCTGAACAGTCAATTAATCCTAAAGAACTAGCGAATGGCTGACCGTGAACAGGCTGGCCAAAAACAGAAGGCTTTTTGTTCACCAAAGAGCACTATTAAAACAGGCCTAGGAATGCTAGAGCAGTGTTCTTAACCTGGGCGATATTGCCCCCCCAGGGGGCGATTTCATTTTTCAGGGGGGTGATGGAACAAAAAGGGGCAATGCGGGGTGAAGGAATGAAAAGGGGGTGATATGGGGGCGATGGAGCGAGAGGTTTTGGGGACATTTTTGAGACTTTTTCGTACAGTGAATTGCTGTATATCTGACGGAGGGGGGAGCACTTCTTTCAAAACATTGCATGCTGAAATGGCTCTGTAAAACATTTTGTATTGTATTTTTTTAGCGTGCACTCCAGTTCAATATTATATTTTCTTTGTGTCTTTTTAATCCTTTTTACAGTGTGCGTGACTATATATAGTTTCCTCAAATCTTAATTTAGTTTCAGAATTTTCATCTTGAAATTCTTAGTTCCTGCATTGCGGTTTGTTCTTATGCCCTTTTTATATTTCTTTTTGCATCTTAAATTTCACTTGTAATTCAATCATTAAATGTTACTGTTTTTCTTTTTGGGAATTTCACTTTCTTGCAATTGAATTTTGTTTTCAGTGGTCATTACCTTTAAGTGTCTTGAATAAATAAGATAATAATGAAATACATGTATCACGAAGTTTGGGAATAAAGTGACGGGTGGCACCAAAATTTTTCACACAGTTGAGATATGGGAAAAAGACTGGAAATAAATTATTTGCATCGATATGTCCTGATGACAATTTTAAAGAAAACAAAAAAAGTGTTTGGATAAATTGAAGAATTATTTCCTATGTTGTGATTAAGAGGTTATGTTGGGGGAGGGGGGCGATGACAACTTCCTCATTGGCTCAAGGGGGCGATTTGTTCAAAAAGGTTAAGAACCACTGTGCTAGAGAATTGGTCCAATCCTGCTGGATTTTGCTCAGTAACTACTAATTATGTAAGGTAAGCTAATACGGTGTCATAGAACTGGCTATTTCTCAGTGCCGAAGATCTTGCCTTGAATAGGGGCAAAAGGAGGGAGGGATTCCTTTTGCAAGGTTTGCCTTTGTTTTTGGCTTTTATGATTGTCCCAGCATCAAATAAGTAACAGAATGGGAAATTAGTGAGGGAAAGGCATGGGCCCTCTGAGAAATCAGTAACCAAAAGGACGTGCAAATTCTCTACCATCTCAGCAAAATGTTTTCCTTTTAGCCATGGCTCTTTGCCTTCTTTTACAGTAGTCCTTGCTCCATGCAGCAGCCAATCTTTTTTTATTTATTTAACCCATCTACAAACTGCCTCTTATTTTAAGCAAATCTTAAGGTAGTCTTCAAAGAACTCATCTTCAACAACTTAAAGGCAGAAGAAGAGTGGGACTGCCACTGCTGCTATCATTCTGAGGCTGAAAAACCTTAGTCTAAAGTACTCTTTGAGAGCCAATTTGGTGTAGTGGTTGAAGCATCAGACTAGAAACTGAAAGTACCGCCTTAGTACCGCCTTAGGCATGAAGTCAGCTGGGTGACTTTGGGCCAGTCATGCTCTTTCAGTCTCAGAAGAAGGCAAGGGCAACTATTTCCAAAATCTTGCCAAGAAAACTGCAGGGACTAGTCACTGCACTAATAAAGGAGAATATTGGTACAGTAGCTCTGGGTTGAAATAAGGAGTCCTTGGTTCTCTCTGTGCTTGGCTGTTTTCTTGCAGACATTTCATTATCCAAACTAGGTAAAACCATCAGTGCTAGGACTAGTCCATGGGTTGGCAACCCGCGGCTCTGGAGCTGAATGCGGCTCTTTCAGCCTTCTACTGTGGCTCCAGTCCTCCTCTGCCATTTGCAGAGAGAGAGAGACAGAGACAGAGAGAGGCATGTGCGCTTCCCCCCCCTCTCTCTCTCTCGGATCTTCTGCCTCACGCTGTTCTCTGACAAGCTTATTGGGCAGGGCTTCTGCCTTTGCTGCGTCTTCGCAGGAAGCAGCAGAAAGCAGCAGCTCTCTCTCTCTCTCTCTCTCTCACACACACACACACACACACACACACACACACTGAGTGGCGGAAGAAGACTGGCAGACCAAGGGCAGGAGAGCCAGCCCAATAAGAATGTGTGTCAGCTTGTCGGAGAACAGCGTGAAGCCAACTTGCCAGGTGAGCAGAAGATCAGAGAGAGGGAGAGGGGGGGGGAGAGAGGGGGGAGACAAAGAGAGGGAGAGAGAGAGAGAGAGAACTCATGCACAGCAGCCTCTATTTCTTTTTAATTAAACTCTTCAATCAAGCTCCCCCCCTCCTGCCCACGCACACATGCAAGTTTTGCGGCTCCCAGTGTTTTCTTTTCTCTGGGAAATGGGTCCAAGTGGCTCTTTGAGTGTTTAAGGTTGCCGACCCCTGGACTAGTCCATGCAGTTGCAAGGAGTCAACAATACCTCAAAGGCACACTCGTACAAATTATTCCTTAGCCCCAAAAAGCCTTGCTGCAACTTTCTGCCTGGAGATTTAATATTAATCATTTAATGATTAGCACTAGTCCAGTTGGAAGAGAGGGTAATTTGGTGTTTTGGGTCCT